CCCCCCCCCAACCGCCACACAGGGAGAGGTCCTGCCCCCAACCTCTCACCCCTCTGCGTTCTCAGCGCATGCTGTGCTGAACATCAAGCTGGCACATGCACCTCACCTAAAACTCTTCACACTCTCACGCACACACACTGCCCCTGCACGGAGGAGGAGTCGGCTCTCCACAGCTGAAGCGCCAGGAGGCAGGAGGTGCTCAGCGGGCAAGATCCAGCATTTGGCCCACCTGCCCGTCTGGGGCCACAGTGAGCGGAGAGGGGGAGGAAATACAGTCTGGCCCGCTGAAGGTGGACAGAGCTTGGGGCACCTGGCCCCCGGGGGGAGGGGAGGGGAGGGGGGGAGCACCCTTCACTCCTCTAATCTGGGATTCCCCACTCCTCCTCCACTTGCAGCTGCTGGAGGACCATGGGCAAGCCGTGGTTCTGACAAGAGCTGTCCTTGAAAGGGCAGTCCTCTCAAGAGCTCTCTCAGCCCCACCTACCCCACAGGGTGTCTGTCTGTTGTGGGGAGGGGGAGGGAAAGTAGACCGTGAGCCGCTCTGAGACTCCGAGTGAAGGGCATGGGGTGTAAATCCAGTCTCCTCCTCCTCCTCCTCCTCCTCCTCCTCCGCCTCCTCCTCGGCAACACAAGCTACACCCCGGGAGGAGGAGAGGTGGCCAAGCGCCCACACCGTAGGGGCATCCAGAAGGGCCAGCGCCAGCATGAGGCTGGCAGAAGACCTCTCTCCGCCCTCTGTGCCAAGGGCCCAGTGGGGAGCAGAGCACCCGGGGGGGGGCCCTCGGGCCAGGCAGGAGGGGGCGTGGCTGGCGCAGGGCAGCGGGGGGGGGGCAAGAGCCCAAACGGGCCAGAGGGGCCCTGCAGAGTCAGAGCACCACAAAGGGCCCCACGGAGCCCAGCCTCATTTCCGTGGGTGGCCGGGCGGGCGGCCATAAGCCACCAGTGGGGCCGAGAGCCCCCAGAGGGAGACCCCCCCGGGACTGGGGCTGCATGCCAACCGGAGAGCCCCTCTGCCAGGAACCAGCCCAGCCCTGCTTGGAATCGGGCCCAGCCGCCGGACAGGAGCACTTCTTCAGGCAGTGAGTTCCACCGGTCCACAACCCTCACGGGGAGCAACCTCGAATCTGCCGCCCGCTGCTCTCAGGGGGTCCGGGGAGAAGGCGCACACCGGAAAACCTGCCCAGAAGTGGTACGGTGGGCTGCCCTCCTCCCCCCCTCCTCGTAGCCCCAGGAGGGAGGCGTGCCAACATCACTGTCGGGACTCTCCCTCCCTGCCCTCCTCCCCTGGCACTGCCCCCCTCAGACTGCCCTCCTCCTCCAGAGCCGAGCTGCGCCCAAAAAAAACCACCCACCCACCCGGTACTCACAGACACGGAATCCGGGAGCCCCCTCGGCCGGGCGGGCATTCTCCCCGCTGTACAGGGCGGTGACGTTGCCACGCTGACACTGGTTGGTGCAGTGCCCCTCGAAACAGTGCACCCGGCAGATCATGGGGGTGAAGAGCACCTTGACCCTCTGCGCGCCCCCCGGGAGCGGGCCCCAGCCGAGCACCAGCCCCGCCGCCACGGTCAGGAGGAGGGCCCCGGGGTGCATGTCCCCCAGCGGCACAGGGAGCCACAGCCCGGGGAGAGAGCGGCGGCAGGACGGGCGCCCAAAGACACCACCGACCGACCGACCCACCAGCTAATTGAAAGCAGCGAGA